CTTGATTGAGGTCTTTGACCTTAAGCGCTGATGTTTTATCCACAGTTAGCGACACAGTTTGCACGAGTTACATTTAGAAAGACTTAAAGTTAGCTCAAAGCTACAGATAGCCTATATAGTGCTAAAAACAATGGTTAAACTAAAGGCAAATGGTGTGCTTTTGTTTATCTACTAACTCAACTACAAAACTACAAAACTTGTAACGATATTCACTTTCATATTAATAAAATCAATATAACATCATCTTGATGCATTCTCAATCATCCAGGAAAATAAATCTCCAAAAGTTGATTCTGTTCATCTGGACGTAGCGTATTCTGGGAGAATATTCCAGAATATTCCATATTCTGAATCGAGGAGGGGGCTTAAGGGTACATCTTTCGCCATCTTACAATGCTGTGATTGCAGCCATTCCTCAACTCTCTGTGAATGGTACTCATGGCCATTGATCAGTGGTCTTTGATCAGTGGGTTTTGGTCAGTGGTTGTTGATCAATGGTCATGAGAATTTGCATAATTATGATTAAGGAACTGACCTCACAGCCCATTGTTCCGTCAGTGGGCTGGTTTCAGTCATTATGCAAATGTACTGTTTATAAGATTGGGGAATCCTGCAGTCAGCTGAGACTGAAGAAGTCACTTGGATGAGTGACGAAACGTTTCTCCCAGAATACGCTACGTCCAGATGAACAGAATCAACTTTTGGAGACAATATAACATCACTTTAAATGAGCATATTCAGAGCAGAGGGCTGTGGGAACAAAGGGGTACTTCAGTTGATCTGCAAGGTACTGCACAGGTTTGTAAGACTGAAAAGGCTAGGAGTGAGTGCTATAGAAGGATTTGTTTTTTGCACTCTCATCATTAAGCAGGTAATTTATCACTTCACACAAATTACAAGTGTTCTGTATATATGGTGAAGTTCGGGCAGTTCATATTGCTAAACCTTGGTTCATATTCCTTCCTCCGCTCTATTTTTAACCTAAGATTTTGTTACAGGCGCACAATGATGAGGCAGCATCTTTTTTGCTGCTTAGCCCTAAATGGAGCCAGTGTCCTGAGAATCCATCTCCCAGTCTGTCCAGAAAACCTGATGGTTTATTACACCATCCGTTAGTGTGACTGACAGCTGTAATGAGGCGCTCGTTTTCTAGTGGCGTCTTAAAAAACTGACGAAACACTCGGACTGGATGTCAAAGAAATCTTTATTTATTCTCAGTGGTAAAGACGAGAGTGCTCAGTAGACGATGACAAACGAGTGAGGAAGTGTCAGTGACGCCCCCACGCTTGATGAGATATCAGAACAACGTTTCCAGAACGTTCTTTTCTGGGTCACCTGTGTGGCCAGCCCCCACAGAATTCAGTCGAAACACACATAATAATAATAATAATAATGATTATAAGAATCATCATCATCATCATAATAATGATGCCGGTGGGTAAAAAAGGGAAGAGAAGGAATACATCAAAGAGCCACAGGTAGATTAGGTTTTCTTGTTTTGTCCTCCTGCGCTTCGAGAGTATCTCAGTGTTCTGTGACTCAGCTTCGATTGAAGAAGAGTTCAGTCTGGTTATCCCTGCCAACGGCTTAGTCCTTACAGCCGTCTTCACCTTTTCTCCTTTGCTTCACATCCTCCAGTAAAGGGTTCTTTGTGCTGATCACTCGTGGTGCGTTCAGCAAAGTTATGGCTTGGGTGCTGACGTTTTAAACTGTGTATAAAAGTCTCAAATGAACATGTGCCACAGGCAGTATCATCAAACACCACTTTAAATCAATATGGGGACAGAACAGTGGATGCAGTGTGGAAAGTGGCCAAAGATGCGTGGAGATGGAGCACTTTTATAAATAGTCTTGCCTTTGAGATGGCGTTGCTAGAGACACTAGCTAGATTGTGCATTAGCTATTGGCCACTGAGGTACAGAATCGTGTAACTGTAAAACCTACAGGATCATGTCTTAAATCGTCTACTCTGCATGCTATAAAACAGGGTCTATAACAGGTATACATTAGATCGCTATCAGTCTCTACGTTATCAGTGCGTGCTACTTGGGTGTGTGTTTATTTGTGACCCCAGTCTGTTTCTCATTTCGTGACATTAAGCGTCAAATCGCCAGCTTGATCCAACTCTCGTGCTAATCTTCCCTCGCCGGCTCTCATCAGGTAATGAGTGCTCACTGACTCACCCAAGCCAGAGCAACAAATGGAGCTCACCTCCTTATCGTTGATTTTTTGTTCTCACGAAATGAGTTTCGGGCTATCTGTTCATTGTTTTCTCCCACTTTCTCCTCCCCTGACCTTCCTCTTCGGCGGCTAAATTTCTCTCCTTACACCTCTCTAATTTTCCCATTCCTGTGAGCCTGCTCCAGTCCTTTTCATGTTGTCCCTCCAGCCCGATCTCCTTTTACTCCTCAGTTTTTTAGCCCCCCACCCACCTCCATGTCTTTCAATTTGGTGTATGTCTGTGTTCATGTTGAGTGTGTCTATTTGCCTGCATTTATGTGTGTGGATGTGTGTCACAGTGCACTGAGGTCATGACAGGAGCGGGACTTCTGCCGAAGGATTTTGCTGCCCCTGTGGCGGCTCATCTCCCTGTAGCGGCCTCGATCCCGGTCCCTGTCTCGGCCGTACGATCGCGGCACAAGACCGGCCAGGAAGCGCTTGGCCCGGCTCGTCAGGCTCTCCCTGCGGCCAGCACCGGGGTCACCGTCCGTCCATCCGGGGCCCACGCAGTCTCCCCTCGCGGTCCGCACTGCTGCCTCCAGCAGCTCGTTGGTGCCGTGTTCTAATGAGGCAGAGAGCTCCAAGTAGAGGCAGTCAAACATCATGGCGCTGGACTGGGCCTCTGGTTGGAAACAGAGACATTTGGGAAGCATTTTATAACTAAGGATCTACATAATGTCAGCTGTAGATGGCATTTAGAGGCAGCAGTTTGAAATTTACGGACGCTGGATTGTGAAAACAGCCCAGCTGCCGTGTGATGTGTATCACCACGAGGTAGTACTTGAGAGCTCACTCACTGCACTTTTGAAATCTCTATTAGCTTTCTAAGTGTTTGGAAGTCCTTTCACAGAAAATCGTGACCGGCTGTGTGAGATGGGAGGATTGGACTCTCCCCCATGTAATGTGCTTCTGAAACTGTGCCTGAAAGCTACGGCAGTAAAAGAGAAATAAAAGAGGAAGGGGAATTGTGGTGGGTTTTAGACTGCGCTATTTTATGCGTTTAAAAACAACATTATATTTCTCACTCATGAACATTGAGACTAGAAATCAAATTATTTCCTGTCACAATGTCCTGATGTGGTTTACCAGGGTAGCCCACAGAGTTCAAAAGCACTGCAACTTAAGAAAACACAAAGAAGAAATGTTTCAAAAGCATAGAAAACACAATGGAAAAAGAAAAAAAACAAAGTTGAAGCTTCTTTGAGGCAACAATAATGTGACAGAATGGCTACTAGAGTGTTACTGCAGTGTTATAAGAATAATGCATTTAAAACACACATTACCTGCATATTTTCCCCCCTCACACAGACACATCGTCGGCTTCTTTTAAACATGTCTCAGTGAGGTCATTCGCATGTTTCCCTTTCTGTCACTTCCAAAAGCTGTTCTGTCGTTACTCACTCCCCAAAAACGCTTCCACTGTATTTTATGAGTTTTCGCCATTCTTCTACTTGCTGATTTTTCTAAAGTTGCAGTGCGTTTGAACTCTCATGGCCACCGTAGTTTACTTGGGTTTTGGAGGTGGATTTGCTAACTTCTGCGGGAGGAGCCTCCAACCACCTATGGAGGTTGTGTGTTACTGTTAATGTTAAACGTCAGACTGTGACATCCTTGGGAACGTCCTCAACTGCTTAATGTTTCAGGGTTTCCTTGAACAGACTCAGGAATTAAACAATATTAAAACACATAACAGTTACTGCTCTTTTCTAAACTGTAGCTTCAAAACTCTCCCTGGAAAGCGCTTTGAGTGCTCAGGTAGAATAGAAAAGTGCTATATAAGAACGAATCTATCTACCATTTACCGAAACCGTTTCCAATTCCTTCTCTATGGCAGTCCTAAACCACTACGGATGTAATATATTTTTGTCCACTATAGTCTTCTGGCGCTGTTGTAGTTTATACGTGATACGTTCATTATGGTTGTTTTGGAAGAGGTTTTGTCTCTTTCGTTGACGATAGAGAACTTTGCGTTGAGGCTTCTAGTCATTCTAATCTCTGTCCGCAAAAACTTGATATACGTTACAGGCGTGCACAACTTAAAAGACTTGGAAGAAAAGTAAGCCAACCTGGGGTTAGGGTTATGTTGCTTTTCCCAAATTCTACAAAAATACTATAAAGTATGAAGTCATCATATACGAACACATCCAACTTCATGACAATGGATGAAACATCGTCAGTTGAGGAAGACTGTGATGCAGCTGAAATAAATTAGTACAATAAGAAACTTGCAGTACAAACAGCTCTCTATCATTTACAAATGTTGTTTTTTATCAAGAAATGTGCATTTCTTATTTGTAATTTTATCTGCCTCTTACAGCACCACAAAACTAAGGAATCTTAATTCTACCACAAGGCCCTGATTATTGTGCATTTGTAAAATCAGCATTCACAGGTGAGTGCACAAGGACACAGTGAGACAGTTGAGCCAAGATGGGGTTAAATGTGGCCGGGGGTGTATAAGCTTAAATCTCTTGGCAGCAGGGAAATGCTTTCTATCTCAGTGTGACTCTCGTGAATAAGGACAGGTGACTAAGCATGTTGTTGACAAGGCTCAGGATATCAGCTAAAAGCGCCGGTCTGTCCCTGGCCAAACAAGCCACAGTGATAAGGAAAGCTGACAGATATAGATCATTCTACAACAAATGGCTTTCTTTGTTAACTCAAATGGCACAACCACCGCTCTCCCTCAACTGTGCTTTAGCTTTTACTCCTGCTCTGCACAGAGCTAAAATCTGAGAGCTCACAAGCAGCCACGCGCTGGAAAGGTCTTTTAAGTGTATTATTGGCACTCACAATAACTGTTTTTAAAAATACACCGCAGGAACTTAAAATGACGGCAGCGGGAAGAGGTCACAGCTGTAGAACAATTATGTTTGGGTTTTGTGAGGACATTTTAGAGTATTAGTTGAAATGAAAAATGATGTCAAGAGCAAAATAATACTCAGATGAAGTGCTGATAAAAACTCAATTGTCTACTCACAATGGATGGAAAACAGCACAAAAAGTAAAGCAAATTCAGATAAGCTGAACCTTTCAATTATGTAATTTTATATTCAGTGTGCCAGAATGACTGAGGCTCTCCTGAGTAGTTCTGATTCTTCTATTAAATGCACGTTACAGTGAACTCTAATTGGAATATTTCTGAACAATAAAAGATTTATAGCTTTTTTTTAGACCAGTAATTGCATAAATACATAAATGTGCATTCCATTTTTTTTACTTATCCTTAGCTTATGTTTAATGCAATGTGTGTTCCATCTTTAGGTAATATCCCCAGGTATTTCTTAAATCTCAGACTCTATTACAATGGCTCTGTTTGGTTCACAGTTCAAAATAGTTCTCTTTTGTTTTATTGTAAACTGCTTCTCTCCTCTTCGTCTGTAACGTGCTGGTTTAGCGAGGTGCAGACAAAGACAGGCCATATCTAAAGGTGACCTCTTTACGTTCCGACTGGGTTCCACTCACAAACTGATGCTCTGAGTAGTACACTGTATTGCCAAAAGTATTCACTCAGCCATCCAAATAATTGAATTCAGGTGTTTCGATCACTTCTATGGCCACAGGTATATAAAATCAGAAACATATGGGAAAGAATGGGTTGTCCTCAGGAGCTCTGTGAATTCCAGCATAGTACCATGACAGGATGTGACCTGTGTAACAAGTCCAGCTGTTAGTGGTGTAACGCAGTGAAAGAGATTGGGAACAGCAGCAGCTCAGCCACAAAGTCATAGGCCACGTAAAATTGCAGAGCGGGGTCAGCAGATGCTACAGACCTGCAAACTTCATGCTGCTTTCACATTAGCTCAACAACAGTGCACAGAGAGCTTGATAGAATGGCTTTCAGTGGCCGCATCCAAGCCTTACATCACCAAGCACCACTGCGTGTAAAGCATGCGGCCACTGGACCAGTGGAGGCGTGTTCTCTCGAGTGACGAATCACGCTTCTCTGTCTGCATGGCCCATGAATGAGTCTGGGTTTGGCGGTTGCCAGGAGAACAGTACTTGTCTGACTGATTGTGCCGAGTGTAAAGCTTGAAGCACGGGGGGATTATGGCAAGGGGTTGTTTTTCAGCCTCTTAGTTTCAGTGAAAGGAACTCTTAGTGTGACATTTCATGCTCCCAACTTTGTAAGTGGCTCCTTTCTATTCCAACACGAGTGCACATCAGTGCATAAATAAAGCAAGGGTCATAAAAACATGAGCGGGTTTGGTATGAAGAACTTGACTGGCCTGCACTGAGTCTTGACCTCAACCTCATAGAACACCTTTAGGATGAATTAGAGCGGAGTCTGCAAACCAGGCCTTCTCGTCCAACAAGAATGGTCAAAAAATGTCCATAAACATGACATCATACATCATAGGGTGACATCATATTAAACCCTATGCATTAAGCATAGCATCTCCCTCAAGCTGATATGCATGTGAAAGCAGACAAGCAAATATGTTTGGCATTATAGTGTAGGTTTATGGGACCTTTTCCTAGCTGTGTACTTGAGATGACTAGATATGCTCTCTCTTTTACTTAAAAATATGCTAATGTCATTATTTGAAACTTTGGCGATGATTAAAAAGAGCCACCATTCTAGCAGTACAGTGGGGGAGCTAATTATTTTATCCCCTGCTGAATTTTTACGTTTGCTCTCTTACAAAGAAATGAGCAGTGTCTAATTTTTATGGTAATTTCATTTTAATGGGGGATTGAGACGGAATATTAACCAAATTTCCAGGAAAAACGTACATAAAATGTCTAAACTGAGTTTCATATCATTTAGTAAAATAAATATTTGGGTCTTCATCATACTAGAAGATCGATCCACGACCCGTCATCAGTGTTCCAGCTGAGGGAACATTTTATGGACACTGCCCTGTCCCTTGGCCCCTCAATGCGGTGAAGTCATCCTGTACCGTTAGCAGGAAAAACACACCCAAAGCATAATGTTTCCACCTCCATGCTTGACTGTGGGGGTACTTGTGCTGCAGGGCAGGGGGTGGTGTTCTTTAAGTCCTCCTCAGCATTTCTCTTCCTCCAAACATAGCAGGCTGCATCAGTGCCAAAGAGCTTGATTTTACTTTCATCTGCAACGCAGCACTTTATCTAAATCATTTACATGTTCACTAGAAAACTTAGGACAGTCCTGTACATGTGCTTTTTTGAACAGGAGGACCTTGCAGGCGCTGCAAAATTACAATCCAATAATGGTGTAGTGTGTTGCCAGTGGTGTTCTTTGTGACTGTGGTCCCATCTGCCTTCAGCTCATCAACAAGTTCCTCCTGTGTATTTTCTGGCTGATCAACTACCTTTCTTATGACCATCCTGACCCCACGTGGCTAAATCTTACATGGAGCTTCAGACCGAGAGTGACTGATGGTCATTTTTTTATTTCTTCATTTTCAAATAATTGCACGAACAGTTGTCACTTTCTAACCAAGCTTCTTGCTGATGGTCTTGTAGTGTGTGCAGGAGACTTGTATGAAGGTCTACAATCTTGTGTGTCCACATCAGCATATCATTTGCATCTCATTGGTATTCTGTCTCTCTCCATTAAAAACTACAGTAAAATTAGAGACTGTTTTTCATTCCTTTGTGAGTAAAACTTAACAAATCCAGGAGCTGATCAAAAAA